GGATGACCAGGAAATAAAGCTGCATCTAAATGTTTGGTTTTTTTAATGGCCTGCACAGTGAGTTGAGTTAACTGCTACTTTCAGCTCTTTGAATAAAAGATAATTTTGCAGATCAGTCAGACATGAGGATGAAGTATTGGCTCACAATTAGAATACAAATGAGCTTGCAGTGTCCCTCAGTTTTACACAGTGACACCTGAAGATGTTAGCAGACACAATGTCCATCATTTATATACATTCTATAGGAAAACCTGCCCGAGGATGTAAGGCTCCTCCTCAGCTCTTTTCTAGAAGGGTGACGAGGATGCCCCGTCGGTGGTCCTTCTTGGGCTCTCGTTCTCTGGGGGGCCTCTAGATGTCTAGGGTCTGGATCTCCTCCATGCCTGCATCATATCCTGGGAAGCAGGGCTTTGACTCCCCACACCTACTATTAGATAGTTACATGGAGAAACCTTCTGAATACAAGTGCACTCGCGCACACGGGTGTTCACAGACACACACTATCTTCCTTGGCTGCTGCCTCTAAGCATATCGACCATTGACGGTCTTGTGTGCTGCTCAGTAGGCATCTAGGTTGTTGCTTTGGTTTCCTTACCGTGTTGATCTCTCTTTACTTGTTTTCTTTTAGTCTCCAGCTGATTTTAGTGTCTTTTCGCTCTGTACCTCTTCACCTGTTTTTCTTTCCTTCTCCGTTTCCTGAACTTCTCTTGACAAGGTCTTTCCCTTTCCTATCCACCAGTCATGTCTGTTCCAATTGTAATAACTTAAAAGTAAAAAAAAAAAAAAAAAATCAAATAAATACTAAAGATCAAACAAGTGGAACAGTGTGGTAAAGCCATAATGATCCACTTGGGGAAAAAAAATCTGTTGGGTATTTTTATTGGCCTTCAGTTCTGATTATACAGTGCTTGATGGGACAGGCAAAAATGGGGGGAAAGTATTATTATTATTATTATTATTATTATGTGTAAGATATGACACTTCAGGTATAAGCCACCACTGAGTAACTTTGTTCTTCCTACCGGTAATGCTATACTGCCCTCTACTGAAACTAAACTGAAACCACAATAGAAAACAGACAGTTTCTTTTATTTTTTAATTGAAATGTTTTTTTTTCTTGATATAAGATGACAGAAGTAATAAAAAAAAAAACAAAGATAAACACAACAGTGTAAATGATTA